AGGTTCTGTATATCTTTTTCTAACTATAGCAGCTGGGATAAACAGAGCCCTTTCTTGGTTACAGACAGTAAAAATTTAAAATATTACACACAGCCTTTTAGCAAGGAATCACTACCCCTCTGATCTAGACTCAACAGCAGCTATGTACTTAAAAATAACATACCAGAGGAGCTGAAGGCATACCCTCACCAGCATGCAACTGCCATTTCATGACACAGTAAATACCATTTTTGGATAGCCACAAGGCACAGAATTGTTAGAAATTCAACCCAACCAGTTTTTTAGAAACAAAACAAAGCAAAGAGTAAAGAGTGGTTTTACCCTGATGACTTTACATCCGAGTTGGTATCATTTATCTTTCTGCTGCCTCTGTAAAGCCAGGATAAAGTCTGTTGTAAATGCTGTCACTCAGCACTGGCTGATCTTGACCAGAATGCAATTATATGCTTGTGTTTGTTCTGGATCAATTTACCACCATTGTAAGATGACATATTGACAAGCATAGTCTGCCTCCAGACACAGTTTCAGAAGGGCTGAGTGTGAGGGATCAAAAAGAAGACAAAGAAAATCCAGTTCAGAATAAAATTAGGAATATACAGAGATGTGCCTGCTGACAAAAGAGTTATCTACCACTCTGCCTCTCTTCTTCCTGCACCATCTGTGTGTCACAGTCTACAAAAGTTGCAACTGTGCCAGTGAACAATTGTTTTAGAGAGCGCTCTCATTTGCAGCACAGCTTTACAGCGGAGAGGACACTGGAAGTCACAATCATTAGCTGACAGTTCCTACTCCTGGCTGAATTTATGGTCACACGTTTATTAAACCCAGATCTGTGCACGGCTGACTTGCCAGCAGACAGATCTGAGCCAGCTCATGTGGAGATGCACAATTGCATTTCAGACATCAGCTCAGTGGTGAATCAGGAGCACCCGGTCCGACCCCTCTGACACCGCGTGCCGTGAGCGAGCCCAGCCTGCCGCTTTGGCTGCCATACGTGCCAGCCCTGATGCACCATGGAGCTGTGGAAGGAGGCTTCTCCAGGCAGGGAGGAAGGAGCCGTGTGGGCGTCCTTTGTTACCAACATTACCACAATGAATCCCTCAGCTGCTGCCATATGTATACAGCTAGAGCAGGTCTCACGTACGGCTTACAGTTGGGTTACAGCTCCCAAAGCAAGATTAATTGGGACTTTCAAAATCCCAGGCCTGTGTGAGATACTGACATTCAGCCTGATGCCACAGTGGTAGTCACTTCATTTCTTTCTTTTCTGAAAAAAAAAAAAGAAAAAAAAAAGATAAAAAAGAAAATGAGAGTGGTATTCCTTAAGCCTCATAATACAGTTTTACTTGTACTCAGCTTCCTATTGCTGCCCATGTAATGAACACCACCATAGCCATCGCTTTTCGTTGGAAATGAAAAGTTTACAAAATCTATCATCACAAAATGGAATTTTACACTGAAATATTTACCACGGGAAACTTATCAAGATAAGATTAACCTCTCTCTACAAGTAAATTCCAGATTAATAATGAGGATCTTTTTCAGTATTTCCACTAACTGATAAAAAGCAATCCAGAATAAGAGGGAGTTCTCTCTTACTGAGGAAAGGATGTGAGAACCAACAGGGCTTTTTGACTTCTACATTCTTCAATTATTAGAAGTACATACATAAAGGGGGTTGGGTGGGAAGTGATTTTCATTCACTATGGCTTGCAAGCTGGTTTAAATTGCAATCCATAGAAATGACTCAAGATTTAATGAGCTTCTTAGACCACTAAAACATGATGTAAGGCACTCAGTTGTCTTCACCCATCTTCTGTGTTACGACAAATGTCGTAACAGATGTGCTCCTGACCCTTTAAAACGAAACATGACATGATAAATTACCTCTTATGCAAACTTAATCAAAACAGACACTAAGCTGTCTCAAAGAGAAAAATAAAGACCAAGCACATCACCTAAAAATCTGAGATATAACCACATTTATCATAAGGGAATCAACCCTGCCAGCAGTCGGTTCTGAAGAACGCCCAATTTCCCCCTAAGGATAATTTAAACAGACCAGCTATTAGACTCTTATTTGCAGAAATGACAGACTGTGAACTTCTTCCAGCACAAAAGGCGAGACTTGTGATAGAGACCTGGCAAAATACACCTCCTGTAAAAACAGCTATGATTACAAAAAGGAAAGCAAGAAAGAAAAAAAGATCAAAAAATTTTTAATTGAAAGTCTAACACAGAGAGATAAATAAAATTAATGTGTGTTTCAAAATGGAAAAATGATCAAAGTTCCAGAAAACAAAGTAGATATGAAGGAATTATTCACATGAATAGGAAACAGCTTATTGGAGCATATCCTAAAATTTGTTGAGATTATAAACTTTTTCGCTATCTGGCACCTGTCCCTCTGTTGGCAGGAAACTGCCCATTGTTAATGACAGTGGCATTGTTGTTATGCATTTCCACGAACTAAAGAATAGTTCTCCCATGGCAGAACTACCACAGTTACAACATAGAACCGTGGCTGTCATTCTTTAGTTGACTTTGTACATTTTCAAAAAATCTCTTCCTGCCCTGGTTAGCTCTGCAGCCACACACGACAGATTTAAGCAGTACATGGGAAAATGAGATGGTTAGATAAGAATTTAGATCTTTAAAATTTATATCACATATCTCACCTAAGGATTAAACAGATTTGCTTGGTAAGAACCCTGCATACAGAACTAAGTTTTACTCCTAGAACACATGTAGGATCAGGCTCATGCAAAAATAAGTGCCTTTGCAGAATACACAATATGCAGGAAAAAATAAAGTTTTGAGGACTGTGTGCCATCATTGCAGAGACAAACAGCCATGAAGAAGGCACTATAATTTTAGTGCTCTTCTGTATTTTGTGAGGTTAAGTCATCCTACTATCGTGGGACTGAAAGTAACAGACTTTCCTCGAGATATATTTCAAACCCACAACAGAGAAAGCTACATCAGTAATGCAAAATATTGAAAATTCAACTGTTTGCTCAAATTAATAATTAAGTTATAATGAAGAAATTTTATTCATCACAAGTTTGTCTGATTTGAGCGTGACATTTATATAAAATATACCAACTGACCACTTATAATTAGGACAGTCTCCTTTCCTTGCTTGGATCACACGCTGTTTTTATCTTTGCCATTCATTCATTTATTTTATTTTAAAGCCCAGTCTTGTTTCCACTGAAGTCAGCAGGAATTCTGCCACTGAATTGGTGGGAGGAAGACTGTTCTCCACAGCTCACTCTTTTCTGCTATTAGTGATTGGGCTTTTCCTTTGCAGTAGATTTTTTCTTGTATCAAAAGTTATATTTAAATATTGGAAGATTAAAAATGACACTGCTAAATGAAAGCAAGAAAAGAATGGAGTATATCTTACACAAATGCATAGAAAACCACAGATTTAGTGAAAACATTCTGCGATGAAACATTAACACCAGGATTTTTCTCATGAACCAGATTCCCCTCTAACGTACATTAAGAGTTTGCTCAGTGGGCAGAAATATTCAGAGCCCACCATCAACTCATCTGCATTCAAACTGATTTTGAAGTCATCCTTAATTGCACTTTACATAGTTGGAAAATACATCTCTTACCAAGGTTGTGCTGTTTTATGTAATCACCTCCTTTTTATACGGTGATTAAACCTGTAGGAAAGTGTGGGAGCATTTTAGGGGTTGTGATGTTTACGATTTCTTGCTGAGGGACACCTGATCACCACAGCAGCTGTCAGAACCAAAGCTCTGCACTCAGCACAACAGTGAGCAGCAGTGTCAGGAGGTAAGCGCTGCTGACAGCCCCCACTACACACACTGTGCCATGCCAGCCCGTAATAGGAAAATGAAAACCCTGATACCTTCCTGTTGGCTGACCCCTTCCTCCCCGTTTCCTTTCTGAATAAAATTTTAACACTATTTAAAAAATAATGTGGGGTGGTTCCTGGGAAGGAAAGAAGAGTGGTTGTTGCCAGCACACTGCTGCTTACCTGCTTGGGCTGCAGTGGTGTCACACTGCCCATCTTAGCAAGGACTTAGGAAATCCCACTAGTATTTCAAGTCCCATGACTGTAAGCAGGCAAATTCTTTTCCTTACCAAAACAGGCATCACACGTCTGTGCAAAATCCCGCACTGTGTTTAACGAGCTCCCATTTACACACAAAACTTCACAGCCACTGCGGGAAGAGCACCCAGCAGCTCTCCAGCACCCGACCCAAGAAGCAGGGGCAAGCAAGGCTGCAGAGAGAACACAAACACTGCGAGCTCGAGGCTCCTTTTTGGACACTCAAATCAGACAAACCTGTGATGCATAAAATTTCTTCATTATAACTTAACTGCTAATTTGAGCAACCTGTTGAATTTTCAATATTTTGCATTACTGATGCAGCTTTCTCCGCTGTAGAATCACAGAATATTCTGAGTTGGAAGGAACCCGTAAGAACCATCGAGTCCAACTCCTGGCTCCACACAGGAGCACCAACTCAGACGCCCACCCCGTCCCTCTCACCACACGGCACCAGCCCAGCTCTCGTCCCTCACCCTCCCGTCACCCCCGGCTCTTTCTTCCCTGCGGTTCACTTCCAAGTCCCAGCGGCCCTACGGCCGTTCCCCGCCTCGTTCGGCCGGCTCCCCACCCCTCACTCAGGCAGCTGCCGGCGCCTCGGGCTCCACCCGCTCGCCGCCCAACTCACGCGGGGCGCTGAGCGCCGCCAGGCCGCGCCGGGAACACCAGAAAGCAGACGGCGGCCGGAAGGCTCCCCGCAGCCCGGGGCGCGGCCGCCCCCTGAGGGGAGGAGGGAGCGCGGCGAGGACGGCCGACCTCGCGGCGGTGGCACGGATCCGGCCGGGCCCTGCCTCCCCCCGCCCCTCCGCGGGTCACATGAGAGGGGCGGGCGGCTGGGCCGAGGCGGCGGCTGCCGCCGGGGCTGAGGCGGCGCCGGGGACGGGGAGCGCGGCGGTAGTGCGCGGCGGCGGCGAAGGAGGAAGAGAGCGGCGGGAGGAGCGAGCGCGGGGCCTCCCCGAGCCGCGGCCGTCGCAGAGCGCGCTGCGCGCGGCCCCAGCATGGACGAAGAGGGCGGCGGAGGCGGCGGTGAGTGGCGGAGGGGCCGCGGCCCCGCACCTGGCCGCCGTGCCGGGGCAGCGCTCGGTCGCGGCCGGCGCGCCCGGACCGGGGCTGGGGAGCGCGGCCGAGGCCGGAGCGTGCGGCGCGGCACCGCGCCCTTCTTCTTGTCCTTTCCGCGCTCCGTGCCCCGTCCTGCCCGGTTCCTCCCGGGCGCGGGGGCAGCGCCGCTGCCGGCGGCCACGGTGGGGCTCCGTGCCCGCGGCCGGAAGGCTCGGCCGGGCGGAGGGCCGCTCTCGGGGTGGCGGCGGGGCCCCGTCCGTCTGTCCGTCCGTCCGTCCGTCGGCGCGGTGACAGCCCCGCGTTGGCTCCGATCCCGCCCGGAGACATCGCGGCGCTCCCCGGGCGCAGCTGCGTCCGCTGGGGAGGAGGGAGAGAAAAGTGTGTGTTTGGCGTTTGTGCGAGCGGTGAAAAGGATAATTATGCTCTGCGAGGGCTTCTGTTTGTGTGTCATCCTAATGGAGGCTCGGTGATAATCCCGGAGTGGTTCATCCAGTTTAAACAAGGCGAACCGTTCCTAAAGGCAGCGATGCTAATGTTCCCAAACAGCACTTTTAGCGAATCGGGGCTTGCATCCTAGGGGAGCTTCTAATCTTTAACCTTTCGGAGGCTGCAGACTGTCCCGGCTGAAGGACGGCGGGTTTGCAGCCTGCTTTCTTCGTCTTATTTCCAGTGCTTTGTGCGTGAAGCTCCCTTCCCTCTGGAGGAACCCTCCGCTGTGTGCCCGGCCGGCTCCATGTGCTCGGTGGCTGCAGGGCTGCCCTACATTCGCTGTAACCCAACAGCTGCTCGGTGGCGGTGGCTGCGAAGCGTTAAACGCGCCGTGTTTGGGGGTATCGCTCGTTTCTAAATGGATAAAATAATGGCTGAGGCTCGTATGATTAGTAGTTACACGGTGATTGCTAATTTTAAATGTAATTGCTCAGAACTCGGAAATCGGGTGGGTGTGGTGTTTGTTTTGACAACTTGGGGAAGAAGAAGGCTATGATGAATCAGAGGAATAACTCTTGAAGGAGCGTGGCCATTTCTCAGCACTTGCCTGCCTCATCAGTGTTAGGCTTAAGTCTTTTGCAAGGAAAACAAAGAACAAAACGAGCCAGTTCTCCTTCAAAAATTGTCATTGGAAGCAATTGAACACTGGAACTGTTCAGAAGATTCAGTGAACTTGACATACATTATTTTCACAGTGTTATATGCTGGTGTCTGTGGGAGAGGGAGATGGAGGTGCTTGCTGTTGGCACCAGCCCTGTCGTGTTGTAGTTCTGACGTGCCAGGCTCAGATTGGAAGGTGGACCTCTTGCTGAATCAGTCCTGTCAGGTGTGTGTGTTTCAAAGCTGGATTTTCTCAGGAAGAAAAGCACCCAGAGCCTGGAAGGAGGCAGTCCGTCCTGCAGTGCTTCTGCAGAGGAAGAAGTCAGATTTAATATAGAAGGAAACTTTTAATTTTGTATCAGACTAATAAACGTGTAACTCTCTTCTAATATCCCTCCCTATTTGGCTTTATTGTGGAACAATTGCAGGTTAATAAGATGGCTCATTTTTTTTCCTATCTGTTTTTGATAGTTGATGCTAGTCTCTTGTGAGTATTGAACTCTTTTCCTGACTGGAGATCCTATCTGACTTTTTCTTATGGAGCACAGTCAGTCTGGAACGCCAGAATTAGTTAGATCACTTCCAGCTAATGCATTGTTGTTTTGAATTAAGTCCTTTCCCCTCCTCCCCCCCGCTTCATTTTGCACAATAGAAAGCATGTGGGAAGTGTTGATTTGACAGCCAATTTCAGTGCGCCTTGGTGCTACCGAGCAGTGAGGCTCAGGGTCTGCCAGGGGTGCTCTGCAGTGCTCCAGAAATTCTCATGGTGAAGTGACAAACTGGTGCAGCTGAGCTTATCGGTGTGCACAGGTACTGCAGGCACAGGGCAGTTATTTGAGGACTGCGCCGAATCATCCTAATTAGAGGCTTGATCTAGATAAGCATCTAAATATCTAGGGCACTAAACTGTGATTCAGAAGGTAAATGCAGTTCCCAGTTCAGCTCTGCCTGCTGCCCTGCTCCTCAGTTTCATTTGCATCTTATGCTTCAGTTCCTTCATCTGACAAATGGGGTCAGCTATTTTGCCATCACTTGTGAAAGCTGTGAATAAAAGCAGAGCTGTGTAAAGTCAGGATTATTTTAGAAACACTTGGCGGAAGAGAAATGTTAATTGCGGGAATTGTTCTTGGTGTTTTCTCTCTTCTGTGTGGAGTCTAAATGGGGGCATGCGTTTATTCTGTACAAGCCACTTACACACAAACCTCCCGTTGCTCTCAGTGGAGGCTGTGTGCATGGATTATTGATGCGATATGATCCGCGTCAGTTGGTGTTCGTCTCAGCCTCCTTTTGTGCTCTGATTAAAATATCTCTGTGGTTCACTTCATCCAGGAAGTCTCTCCCCCTCCCTCTCCTCGCTTGGGTTAAAATCACACGTTCTGTGATCTGAGCGAGGCTTTTCTTACATGCTCACTGTTGTTCTGCAGCGGTGGTGCTGCTGAATTGGGATCTTTGCACTGAGCGTTGCAGCAGGTGTGCCGAAGGCAGGCTGGAATAGTAGTGCTCTTTGTTCCTCTGAACTGGAGTTGTGCAGTTGCTTCGTAGTCTCCAAATCCAGCTCAGTGCCGTTCCACGTGGGAAAGCCTATGGGATCGAGTACTGGGTGACTTCTGTGTGCATGTTTGTTTTGAGCTCTCATCAGGTGTGCTAAAAGGTTAAAATCTTGCTTGCACTCAGCAAATACACGAAGCTCTAGCACTGACTGTGACAGTGAGGAATCTCTGTCGCTCCCAGAGCTGTTTGTTTCCAAATGTTGAAGCTTTCCTTGGGGTTGGAGAGCAGTTTAGCTGGCAGCCTGTTGTTGGCTGTGCTCACCAGCGATGGTGCCAGGTAGCACGTGGATTTCTGGTATGGAGGCAGAGCATCAGGAGCTGGACCAAAGGACCAGATCATCTTGCAGAAGACTCAGAAGAGCAGATTTGCTGCCAAACCAAATTTAGCAAGATGACTTCTATTTTTCTGCGTGGCAAAGCAGTTATCTGCTTATAGGTAAAAGCTGTTAAATGCAATTAAAAAGAAAGACCACCCCCCCAAATTTCTTCATGAAAAGTTGTTTTATTTGTATATTTCAGCAACCTCTGGACTGTAGTGTCTTTCAAAGGCAGATATTAAAGATAGGGGAGTTCATGTGACCTGCTCATGGTTGTAGACATTTGCATTGCATTCAAGACTGAATTTGCATGTTTTGTTTAAAATAAAAGAAACTCACAAAATAAGAAATGTGTTTAATAAAGAAGAATATTAACTGTGTTTTCCTCCAGACTCATCAAAGTGGATAAGCTGGTGGTTTTAAAAAGTTGTCCCAAAAGTTCTTTGGAGTTTTAAGTAATGCTGAGAAAGTGCCAAGAACAAAAAAATGCACCTGAGTATCGGATTAACCTCTGATCCTGGTTCTAGGAAGAGAAATAATGGCACATTCAGGCATACAACTCAAAATGAAACAACATAAATGTCTTCTGTCAGCCAGCAGAGCTTCAATCTAAGTCTCTTTTTGCAAAATAAATACTTCTCCATGCTCAGCTTACCTCAATTTGTACAGATTACTTCTTTGTTCATTAGGGTCTTAACTTTTATCCCCAAATGCATTAGTATTAGTAATTAATTGTAAATATGAATTATGTGTAGTGGTATCAGAAAGTAGACTTCTTAATTGCAGTAACATGTTAAGGTTTTTCTTAGCCTAATGTTTGATATTTGTAGCTGTGGCTTGGAAGACAACATTACATTTTTGCTGATAAAATTTCCAGAGATTGCCAGACTTGAATCGTTGAGTAATGGGATTTGGGGGCTGGTGCATAGCAGCATAATCAGGGCACGGGTTTTAGTGGAACAGTGTGCCTCTAACATAGCATCTGTGGATTATTACATCTAGGAAAAAAGCTGTAGAGTTTACTTGGAGGAACAGAGAGTACTTTGCAGAGCAACGTCTGGGAATCAGAGCAATAGCCATGTGAAAGCGGCTTTCCCATGTGCTGCTGTTACGAAATGGATATTGCAGTCTGTAATATCAGTGGAGCGTAAGAGCCTTTACCAGGTGAGGGGCTGCATGTCTCGAGGCAGCACAGTGCTTTCCAGGAGACATCCTGCAGTTTGCATCAAGTTTCTCAGTCTGATTCCCTTCTTTATAGAATTTTCAACGCTTTCTTAAGGGAAAGTTGATGAAATACAGTGTGGCTTTCCTCCAGTCCATTCTGCTTTCCTCTTTTCCACCTATAAGTTTCTCCCTTGCTGGCACAGCTTTTAGCTCTTGATTAAAAGCTGTAAGCCATTCTGCTTATAACTATAGCTCCATCTTATCCACTGCTATCTTTTGCTTGCTTCCTTTCCTCCCCAAGCAAGCATGCTTTTGTCTGTTTCTTTTTACACCATCTTTGGCTGCAGTTGCTTGTTGAACTACTGCCTCTTCTCCTTTTCATGTTGGAAGTCATTGAGTGAGCTGTTTGCAGTCACTGTCTGAAGAGCATCTCCTCCAGGTTCATCCTAGGTCCTTTCCACACTTGTCCTGACCCCTCGTACATAGAACATTCCTTTCCTTGTTGTCCATCCAGCTGCCCCTAGTCCTGTTTACTATGCTTTTCTTCTTGAAATCTTGCTCTTTCTTGGCTTCTTTCTCTGTTGGCTCCTCACTCCCCTCCTGTCTTGTTAATCCCTTTTTCATATGGAAGATGATCTTTCTGCTTCCAACTTCTTGCTAGGATTTGCAGGGCTCTGTGCTTGCCTTAATGCTCTCTTCTTCAGTACATCTTCATCTGGACAATCAAATTTGCAAATAAAAATTGAACAATCATGTTTGAAGTGATGACTCACGGCATATACTGCTTGCTCTGGTTCCACTGCCATCTGTCCCAGCTAAAATGTTGGCCTGTTTGACATCTTAAGAC